TATATATATATATATCAGAAGGAACTTCGGAAAATAACAAAGGTGAATAAATAATTTTGTTTTAAGTGAACACACAACAAAAGAAAACAGAGATTCCAGAAAAGATTTATGATGTTAAAATAAAAAGTTCTTTAAGGAACTAGGGATGCAGCTCAGTGGTCTAGCACTTGCCTAGCATGCAGAAAACCCTGAGTTCAATGCCCAGAACTTTAAAAAAAAAAAAAACAACATAAAGAAAAAAAAAAAACAAAAAAACCAAAAACAGCAAAACAAGAAATCATATAAATATCAAGTAAAACTTTATTAAAGTGGTTCATGTGTTTGTTGTCGTTTCATCTGTATTGATGCTGTTGGTAGTACTTTGTCTAAAGTTCTTTTATTTATGTGCAGAAAGAAAAGAATTTTCTTCTTAATGATTATGCCAAAGAACTAAAAACCAAGGATATCAGGACAAACATGGATATCATTGAAATAAAATATGCCTTAAAGAAGCATATATACAAAGACATATATAGAGCTCAGGTAAAAGTTATCACACTGAAACTTCTGTGAACATTCATATCTTTCTATAGTTTAATATGCATATATTTTTATACTTAGATATAAATGATTCATTAGGACATTTTAATATCTGCTATATTTGTAATACAGATAGTTTGTATTTAAATACTGCTACAATGCTTTGCCGGTTGTGTGGTATTCTAGTATTTTAGTCTAACTGGTTACACGACAGCCTTCACCTGTCTGGTAAGGTTAAGGAAAAGGTTTTATAAAAGGATTTTTTGTTGTTGTTGTTGTTAAAGTAGGAGCACTTCTTTCCACCTTTTTCTGCCTTTATATATCCAAAATAGAAAACAGAAAATTATCATTAATTTTTATATCTTCTTAGCAACAAAATTAGCGTCTTCCTACTATTTCCGTGTTTTCCTTTGGCTTGTTTAGTATTTTTGCTCATAGAACTTGATGGAATCAGAATGTTGTCTATTATATTTGTTGCAGATATTTTTCCAGTATAATCTTTTCTAAAATTTACAATTATGTATATTTTAAAATAACTCAGGAAATTTTTATATGTGATTATATAAAAAACGTGACTTACTTTTCTCCTTTTATATAGTGTTTTCTCCATTTATATTTTTAATTTTTAAAATGCTAAGAGGAGTAGACGTCTTCAGATCTCCAAAGTGAAAATGATCTTGAGGTATTTTAATTTGGAAGTAGGAAACAGAACTGTTCATGGTCATGAGAGTGTTACTACTCTGAAACGAGAATAGTTACTAATTTGAGCCAACATGAATATCAGATTAATTATAGCTATTACTGTGTTCCTGAATCTGTTTTGTATGTTTGGCCGAGGTTTTGAGCTTTGTAGGCTGAAATATATTTTTCAACCTAAAATGTTAAGTTGTAATTATATGGTTATTGTTTTGTAGGCTGTCAGATACAACTGCATTAGAATAGACAAACAACCAGTATACAATGTAGAGGTAAGGGGCTTGGAGTAGCATGGTGATGGGGGCGCCAAAAAGCAGCTTTGTCATTTGTAATTTTTTTTGATTTAAGGGACTGTGTTACTTATAATCAGAAATGAAAAAAGAAAAGCATTGTTCTGTTCCAAAACCATGTTCGGTAATTGCCCATAGTGATAAGAGGAATTATACATTTAACTTGTGCTCATGATAGATGAAACACATGCTCTTATCTTCATATTTCATAACTTTCATAGTTACTGCTTTCATGTCAAATTCTTGATAGAGTACTTCCAAATTATTTTATTTATCATTATTCTTTTAAAATTGGTTGTGTTGTTACATATAGTTTTTATAAATTAAAAAGTTTTAAACTAATCTTTAAATTTACAGATTACATCATTTAAACCATGTAACTCTAAAAGCCACAAAATCACCTATATAGTTACTAACTAAAAATAGTTTTCATTTTGACAGTATTTTGACCAAGGGGGAATGTATTTTGAAACACTGAGTTAAATTCATGTATACCTTCAGAGTGATTTTATGATTCTCTTTACATATTACTTTATGCAAATATGGATTGTTTGTGATAATATCATAATATACTTAGGTTATTCTAATAGACATAGTTTGCTTTCAAGTTGAAAAGAAAACTAAACTAAAAAATAAATTTGCATCCATCTGTTAACCGAAATTTGCAAATTGCTTTGGTGTGTGCTGTGCAGGTACATGCACTTGTGTATCTGTGGGCATGTAGATATGTGTGCACACACACTGAATAGAGGACAGCCTTGGGTGTCATTCTTTAGGAGCCATTTACCTTTATTTTTTTGAAGCAGTGTGTCTCACTGGCCTGGAGCATACCAAGTAGGCTAGGCTGAGTAGCAAGCAAGCAAACTCTGGGTATCTGTCTCCATCTGCGCAGCACTGGGATGAACAGCGAGCATCACAATGCCTGGAATTTTTATTTTCCAGGGATCAAACGCAGGTCCTTGTGCTTGTAAGGAATCTCCCTATTTTGCAAATTCCCTTTTAAGATTTTCTTTTGGAGATACATTTCACTTTTCTGCTTAAGGCAACAGAAAATAATATTACAGCTAATCGTATTTTTTCATGACTTCTAGAAAGTCATGAAAACACAAGAAATTGTGTGATCCATATTGGACCAAATAGGTTGGAAAGTAATGAATTGTGTCAAGTACTGGGGGTAGGATTTACCTACATTTTATAGATGAGGAAACTTTAGCCCTTTTTTAATTCAAGAATTGATCTTATAAATAAATTTAATTAATTAATTAAAAATACACTTATTTTTCCTTAGGTTAAAAATGCTGAATTCCCCAGAGGTGTATTAAACTTAATTGAAAGCCTCATAGAAGGACAGTTTTTTAAAGAAGCCATTGAAGAGCTCTCCTCCCTGCAAGCTCACTACATCCCTCCAGTCTGCCTTCTTCACGCTCTTCTAGAGAACGTTCTGCAGGTAAAAACAGCCCATTGAGTTTACAGTAATTCTTTTTTTAGAGAATGCTAAAATGTGGATTATTTTGTAATTTTTCTATCTCATTTTACTAGGAAATGCAGTACCCATTTGTTACCATTTTCTGTTTTTAGCTGTATTTAGTTACTGCTCTGGGTGGTTTAGCTTACTATTTTCTCAGAATGTTTCAGATAATTTTCTCTTGGAAAAAATGTTACTTTTTTTTTTTTTTTTTTTTTTTTTGCTGTGACAATAAAGTATCTAACATATCAGATTATTATGATCTAAAATGCATTTAGTAATGACTTTTTAGTGCTTTTAGTATATGGATCATTTTATTTATAGTGTACAGGCTTTATAAATACATGTAGTTCTTAGGAACCATTAGAAGCAGCGATTGAAAGGTAGCTTTCCAATCATTTCACCAGAGTGCTGATTTTAAAGCATAACAGGTATAAGTAATTGCCACACTGCTATTAATGATAAGCTGTTAATGAAAAGCTTCTGCCTTTAGTTCCCTTTTAACTGACATTTTGGAACTCTTAATCTCGCTGTAATCCTGAAATTAAATAGACATTTCATATAAGCTACTTCTAATAGCTGATGTTACCTACTGTGTAGATCCACATGACCTCTCCCTCATTATACTTCTGCTGTTTGATCTCATTTGTCCCAAAGCGTGTTTGGAAAAAAAAGTTAGGGTAGAGTTCTTTCTCTAGTTTTAAACTACGTTAACTGATGAAACTGTACTTTTAGCTGCAATATTTTGTTTGTTTATTTTTAAATAATAGGATAACATAGATACATTCTCTGGTCGATACTTTCATATATTGTCAGCTCTTCTTCATCTGCATCCGCCTTGGAAGTCGCCAGCCATGTCAAGATATTATTTAGAGCTATTTCAGTGTCCAACTTGTATGAAAGGAGCCTGGTCTCTAGTAGAAGTACTTGTCAAGTAAGATATTTCACATGTTAAGATGCGAAATTGTGTCTAATAGTTGTTTTAATTGTTATTTTTTTAGATATTGATAAAAGAAGTATATTTGTGTTTTTAGAAAAAATGTGATTGCAGTTTACTTCTGCTTTATATTATATAACAAAAAAGGGCAAGTCTACATTGGTCATGTTTGTCAATCTTTGTTTTTGAAAAATCAGTAAATATGAAATGGGCTCAATATAAAACCAAATTTCCTATAATCCCAGCACTGGGGAGACAGGGATAGGAGAATCCTTGGGGCTTACTGGCCAGCTAGTCTTGCTGAATCACTGAGCTCCAGGTTCATTGAGAGACCTTATCTTAGAAAATAAGTGGGAGAATGAATGATAGAAGATACCTGGTATAAACCTCTGACCTCCACATGCTCATGCATATGCACACACATACACGTACACACATTCACACAAACAAGCCAAGGAAGTAAGTGGAGGCCCGAAATAGAAGTTATAGGTACATTTTTATATAATTGATAAGAAAATTTAGAGATGATAATAAATATTGCCTAACTTCTGACTCTGTGTGTTACAGAATTCACGAGTAGGTGGGTATAGTGGTACACACGTTTAATCCCAACACTTGTGAGGCAGAGGCAAGAGGATCTCTCTGAGAAGGCAGCCAGCCTCGTGTACATAGTGAGTTCCAGCTAGCTGTGACTACAGGGAGACCCTGCCTTTTAAAAAAAATTCATTATTGATCTTAGTTTCTATTTAAAATACACTGCAATATACAGTAAACTGCAATATACAGCTCCATCCTCCAGTGCCCAAATTTCAGGTAGAACATACCTCTTAAGGAAGTTTTGGTGTGCAGGATATGGAAAGAAAATACTAAATTTTCAGAACTCTAATGATGAAGCCTTTTACCTTACCTTCCTTTACTAAATAGTAGAAATGAAAATAATTATGGGTAAGAAAAAAAGGCT